CGACTAGCAGATTCCTAAGGTTGAACTCCCCAATGTGCAGGGGGTGTATCAGCCATGCATGATTGCTACTCAACACCAACCCAAGACCTCTTGGTGCTATTTAAGAGCGAGGGAGTTTTATACTCTCTCCCGCCAGTATGACCATGAGCGTCTGTTCTTGGCCCTTGTCAAGCAAACAGACGCTACAGTTACTCCCTGTTTTCCTGAAGTCCAACAGGTTGTGGACCAATATGCCGAACTGATGCAGGAGCCAGTTGGGTTACCCCACCGTCCAACCAAGCATCACATCGAGCTTTTGCCTGGAGCGGTCCCTCCAAAAGACCACATCAACAGGATGTCCCCTGCTGAGCTTGAGGAGCTAAAAAACCAGCTTGAGACCCTGACCAGCAAAGGTTGGATCAGACCTAGCACATCTGAGTTTGGTGCCCCTGTCCTCTTTGTTCCCAAAGGGAATGGGGAATTCAGGATTTGCATAGACTACATGGGTCTCAACAAAATCACGAGGAAGAGTACAGAGCCTCTCCCTCGTATTGATGACCTTCTGGATATGGCGCAGGGCTGCACACTGTTCAGCAAAGTCAACCTCAAATTTGGCTATCACCAGATTGAGATGGCGAGGACGATGTCCACAAGACAACCTTCAAAACCAGGTATGGCACTTATGAATACATGGTAATGCCATTTGGACTTTGCAATGCCCCAAGCACTTTCCAGACTGAGATGCACCGCATCTTCAGGCCTTACCTGGACAAGTTCATGGTTGTCTACTTAGATGATATTTTGGTATTCAGCCGAACTGCTAGGGAACATGTGGAGCACCTAGCTCTGGTTCTTCAGCCATTACGTGATAGCCAATATAGAGTAATAGGGAGAAATCCTCTTTTGGAGTTCCCTCTGTCATCTACCTAGGTCATGTAATCTCTGGAGATGGTCTGGCCCCTGAAGCCGACAAGGTTGCGACTATTTAGGATTGGCCCCAACCACACACAGTAAGGGATATACGGTCCTTCATGGGTTTGGCCTCATACTACAGAAAGTTTGCCAGGAACTTTTCTGCTGTGGCGGCACCCCTGACTAACCTAACAAGAAAAACACTCCTTTTCTTTGGTCCTTCCCTGTCAGTTGGCCTTCACACGAATCAAGAAGGCCTTGACTTGTGCACCAGTGCTGAAGTTACCTGACCCCATTTTGCCTTTTATCCTGACGATGACGCTAGTCAGTATGGCATTGGGGCAGTTCTTCAGCAGGATGATGGGAATGGTTTGCGGCCCATTGAGTTTATGAGTAAGAAGATCAAAACCCAAAAGTTGCAGAACTCTACCTACGAGAAAGAGTTATATGCTTTGGTATGTGCGCTAAACCACTGGAAGCACTTTCTCTTGGGCAGACACTTCAAGATCTTCTCAGATCATTCCACTTTATAGTGAATGAAGTCCCAGGGCGAGTTAAATGATAAATTAACACGCTAAATTCAGTTCATTGATCTGTTTGACTTTCAACTGAAACATAAGAACGACTGCTACAACAAAGTAGCAGACACCCTCTCTCGTAGGCCTGACGCTTTTACGCTGATCTCCTCTACTCACTCCTTTGGAGAGGAGACCCGTCAGATCATTGCCCGTTTACTGCCTCAAGACCCAACTTATGGACCCATAGTCAGGAATCTGCAAGCAGATCCCAACTCTGAACCAGACTATGCCCTGAGTTCGGACTTGCTGTACACTTACAACAGGGGTGAGGAGCGCTTGCGCATTCCCTAGGACCAGCGATCGAGGACTCTGCTGATGTCAGAGTGTCATAATGCACGCGGTCATTTTGGGTTCCTAAAGTCATATGCAACCCTGTCGCAGCGCTTCTTCTGGAAGGAGATGTGGAGTGATCTGTTGCACTATATTGAAACCTGTGAGCTCTGCCAGAGAAACAATGTCCAACGTAGACCTCCTCTGGGAGGCTGCTCAAACCTTTGCCCGTACTTGATGGTCCTGCTGAATCTGTGTCTATAGACTTTACAGATTTAGGCAAGACCACCTCTCGTGGCATGCGTCAGGTAATGGTCTGTGTTGACAGGTTCATTAAGTACGCAGAGTTCATCCCCATGCTAGAGGCAGCTAGGGTCCCCGCTGTAAGAGCAACGTTTTCAAAGAGGCGGGTCACTCACCATGGACCGCCCGCTTCTATAGTCAGTGATAGAGATCCATGATTTTGCAGCAACGAGTGGCAATCCTACTGCAAGGACTACCTACGCTCACGATTAGACATGACTTTTGGTCATCATCCTGAAGCCAATGGTCAGGCTGAAGTGATGAACCAAGTCTTGTTCCAATTGTTGCGTCCTGTCATTTCTCCAGATCAACGAGACTGGGATCTTCACCTGGCTTGTGCACAACTTGTTTACAATACCTCTATCCACTCTTCAACTGGGTTCAGTCCATATCGTTTGCATTGGGGACGTGAGCCACGACAGCCTCTTGATGACATCATCAATAAGGCTAAGCCTGATCGGACTTCTGGCACCGCGAAGTTTACCAGACGCGACAGAGTCGATGTGGAAAGGGCACAGGCGAACTTGTTCAACGCTCAAAAGGCCATGATTGGACAAGCTAATCGCCACCGACGTCCTTCCCCCATTCGTACTAGCGATTACGTCTAGTTAACCAGTTCAAAGTTGTCGAGGAAAGAGGATCTCTCTCCCAAGCTGTTGCCACGATACTTAGGCAGGTGTTAGTTACAGTGGGCTACGATCCTTTTGGCCCGTCATACGTTATCGACGCCCCACTGCATCTACAGACCTATCCGGTCTTCCATGCATTTAAGCTGCTTCCTTTTGTTCCAGCTGATGCATTCCGAGACCGGCCCCCTCAATTTGGTCCACCAAACCCTGGCAAGGGATATGACGTGGAGTCCATTGAGGATGAGTGGGGCACTGGCCCCGACCAACAGTATCTTGTGAAGTTTTGTTTCCAGCCTCATACCGAGGACAGGTGGTTCACGAGGAAAGAACTTCTCAAGACAACAAGTCTGTAGTTTTGCGTTACGAGGTGGCTCAAAAGGGTTCACTTCCGCGCCATTCTCCTCGTTTGCACCCCTAGCTCGAAGGTCCTCGCTCCCCGGGGGGGTAAGCCTGAAATGACTTGCTGATTTTGACTGCCAAGATCTGACTGCGAGGCTGTACAGTTACAGTGGTAGGGTTAGATTAGTAATTTTGTTGGTGTCAAGGACTAACCGAGGGTTCAGTGCTGAGGGAAATTCGTGAGGGACATACCTGTAATTTAGGGAAATTACAGGCCCGCAGTTCCCTTAGACCGCACTGCGAATAACAGGGCCCTAGGACAAGAGGCCCTATGGTCTAGGCCCGTAGCATGAGAGCCTATAGCGGGGTAGGTAGAGGCTCTAGAGGCCCAAACTGAAGCGGTACCAGTCGGTCCAGTCCGTGTCTAGGTCTAGGCTAGTCTATTAATAGATCTAGGTCGCTAGTGTTAGGACTTTTGGCAGTTTCCTTTTTCGCATCACAGCATTCTGAGCCAAGCAAGTATAATGGCGACGATTGCCTACAGGGGGCATCCTAAGACCTTCGTCGTGGACGGCAGCCATAGCCAGCCTTCTGGAGCTCGCCATAGCTGGGGCGTCCTCTGAGCATCCACCCCTGCGGGTGCCTGCGAGCGGCTGGGCTATTCTGAGGCTCTACATGGTGTTCGTGGGTGGACCATTGTTGCTGCATATCTTCCTTCGGGATTGTGTGTGGCATCGACAGTGGCGCTGCAGCCATAGCTGCAGCTTTCTTCGTCAGAGTTGCTCATCGGCACTGAGGGTTACATCGCAGCTCCTGTTCTTCATCTGGGTGGTTGGCGCAGACCTCTGGGAGGCTGATGTTGTGTGGCCCTACTAACTGGGTGTAGTATAAGGAGAGGAGTGTGTGATCCTATGGGTGGCGAGACATTGAGACAAACTCTGTAACGATATTGGTTCAGATCATCTAAATCTCAGATTGTTCATTTGTTATCCTCGAGGGTGCCTACATGTGATTGGTTGTTCGGAGTAATGTCAGGGAGTGGGAAACACTTTGTGTTATCTCCACACCTGTGCATAGTGCTTTTCCGCTGCTTACTCTGTCTGTGTGCAGTGTGTACTCTGTATCCTCTCCCCTTCTTCTTATGCATGTATGGGCGTGCGTGAGATTGTCTGCGTGTGAGTGTTGATGAAAATGGACAGACAACCAAGTTCATAAGACCTGTATCAGGAATGATGGATGAAACAAACTTCAACAAAGACATGACAACCAATGGACAAGTTGAACATCCGTCTAGAACCTGGACATGGACAATTGCAGTCACCCTACAACACTTGCCTTAAACCGCATGTGGACAACCCCAGCCTTCCAGAAAATTGGGGGTTGCCAACCCCAAACTTTTCGAGGCTCGGAGCTAGCTACCGGACCACAACGGCTGGTGGGGCCAGCGAAAAAAGAAACGAAGTGCGGTGCTGGTGGTTCGGTAAGGCTTGGAGTGCAGTGCAGCGCCCCCAAGCCCAGGTCTACTGGTGGTTTGGAGGACCAGTACATCCATGCCTCTTTGGTACGTGCCAGATTCTCACTGCGGGCCAAGTTCTGCCGAAACACCAGCGAGGCGTTTTTGTTTTAGTTTCCGCTGGCGCCGCCAGCCATTTTGGTACAGTTGCCACAAGCCGCCGACTTTGCCGGAGAGGCTCAATCCTTATCCTCAGGTTGGAAGGGGCCATGGAGTGGTGGTTTAAAAATTAAAAGGAAGGCGCAATTGCTCATTGGCAGACCTCCGCGCATGATCTCTGACAAAGTGAGACCCCGAGAAGCCAACGCCCCTTTGTTCAGGAAAAAATGCAAGTTCGCCACTGATCTCTCATGAAATGGCGCTTGTTCTTCTTCTTTGAAAAAAAGAAAAGAAAAAAAGACATAATTGGGAAGAAAAAATGCAAGTTCGCCACTGATCAAAAGCTGGACAGGGGGAAGAAAACAAGATTGCACTCACCCCACAGTAGTCTTAAAGCTTTGTTCATCAGCAGATCTCCGTGCATGAACTGACAAAATATGACGCCGCCGTCTTTGTCTCTCTCGATCACTTGATTGGCCTCCGCCTCCTCCTCCTCCTTCTCCCAAATGTGCCAATCCACCCTTATCATCCATAAAGGTGATCATTGGGACCAACCACTGCGTAGCCGTCACATACTGTACGCATGTGGCCTTGAGCTTCTCCAGCCTCTGTCACATACCAACAACAGCCATATAAGAAGAGCATGCGTACGGGTCAGGCCAGGCTGCCAAACGGACAACATACGAAGCCAATAGAAAAGAGAGGGTGAAGCGAAGAAAAAGGGAGGAGGAAAAAAGAGAGAGGAAATATAAGAAGGCATAGAAAAGAGGGAGCACAGGACATGTGTGTGTGCATAGAGCATTCCTGTAAACAAAGCAATAAGGAGAGTGGAGAAAAGAGCCACAGTGATCAAAAGAGGGTTCCAAAAACTTGTGTATGGCCTGGAGGGAGTGAAACATACAAAACAACCTACCCAGAATTGATGTATCCTGTTTTCAACATCATATAGCAGCAGAGAGAGAGAGAGAGAGAGAGAGAGAGAGAGAGAGAGAGAGAGAGAGAGAGAGAGAGAGAGAGAGAGAGAGAGAGAGAGAGATGATTGGCCAGTCCTCACAAGAAGAGAGAAGGGGAAAGGACAAAGTGTTGGGAGTGTATGTTTACCGCTCCAACCAACGCTCTATCTGTGTCTCCTTTTCTTGGGCTTTTTCCACCCAGATTGCAAAATGCAATAATGAGTCGATGACAGGCGCACGGTGCAGACGATTCTTTCTCCTAAGAGAAAGAAACACCGTTGAAAAGAGCAGAGCAGAAAGCATCTGTAGAAAATGCAAAAGACTTGGTCCATACTGGCATGGGTGAATGAAGAAGAGACATCGCCAACATGTGCTTCTCATGGATACAGCCAGTAGGCTGAAAAAGGACAGGGAAAAAGCACAATGCCTGACAAAAAAGGCGATTCGGAATTAACTTCAATTAAGGATGAAGGATGATGACATAGATGAGTTTAAAGCACCAGGACATCCAAGCCTCTTTTTTCCCAAGCCCATTTCTACTGTGCGCAAAGTGCTGCCGAGCCAGCACCGGCACAAAATTGGATTGTTTTGCCTGGCGCCGTCAGTCTTCTCCGTTAGGCCTGTTAACCGCTGCATCGGAACAAAATAGCCGGGAACCATATTGGGCGGTTCAACAGCAAAGCTGTTCGTACGGATTCTACGGAAGCACTTACACTAAGGATCTTGCGCATGAGCAGCATACACTCGCGAAGGCACCGGTCAAGAAACTCGTCATGATGCCGAATGACCTGCAAGTCATAACCACAATGGAGATTACTAAATCATTACTATTTTTTGTCAAACAATTAAAAATCAGTATTTCCTGCCATTTCTATAAAACAGTGAGAAAGAAATGGGGTGAGTAGGGAGGAGGAAGGTTAGCTAGATGCTGATGCATGCAACCAAGCTTGGATAGGACTTTTCTGGGATGAATTTGACAAGATACGTAGCCAGATTCAGTAGAAAAGAAAGTCCTACTGTCTTCACCTGAATAGAACACCCGGTCATTATTGCCACATCTGGACTGAAAGTTGGCCCAAATGCAGCTATAATGACCGGGCGTTCTATTCGGGTGAAGACGGTAGATTGATCATACTAGTATTATATAGCCTTACTAATCAAGCAAGCACACCTGGGTCACATCCCCATAGGCAGGAGCCCTACTTTCGGCCTGATTGTGGGGTGGTGGGGGGGGAAGGAAGATATTAGGAGAGGGTTACGATCCTCTGCAATGAGCATGAGTGGGTGCAACGACATCATTTGGGTGAGAAAATCACGTGAGGGGTCCGCAATTCAAAAACAAATCTGAAATTTCAAAACCACACCCACAGAAAATCCAACGGTTTGGAAACCCACCAGAAAATAAAAAATCCATCTGTGATTTCGGAAATGGGGACACTCCTCGAAAAAGAAGAAAAAGAAAATTCCGCCTTTTTTTTGGGGAGGGGGTGGGGGTGGGGGGGAGGGGGAGGGTGGGAATGCAGGGGGGAACGGGGCCTTTTGGCTCCGGCTCCATATTCATTCTGGGGAGCATCAGGTCCATTTCTTATTCCATCGGCAAGTCTAAAGAATACAATGACGCTTCCCCACCTTTCGGCCCGGGGAGCCCTGACAGCATAGATTGCTTCTCAAGGAAAAATTGACTGTCGGTGTGCCCACACTTGAGATCAATGGCCTTTTCTTCTCGCTTCAGTTGCCCTTAAGAAACATGCCAAAACCAGACCAGCGCTTTCCCTCTCACTCAGTCTACCTCTGGGCGGCTGCCTGATAAACCCCTAAACCCTTGGAACTCTCTGGTTGCTCTGCGCGTCCCAGATGGCGTGCATGGCTCGTGTAAGCATCCCAGTTAGTTGTGTTATGTGACTGATTGGAACATTATCCAACAGAGCATCCACATGTTCGTAAACACATGCGCAATAACAAAGAAGACTTGGAGAGGGGAAACTGCACACCGGGAGCACGAAAACCATAAAGAATTGAATAGAATCTCCATTCGCAGTCCCTAGATGGTGTTTGATATACTCTGTGCCTACCGGACCCGGTTGATTTTTTTGGGGGGCCGGGAGGCCTCCACGACCTGCCTGGAGGCCTCCCTGCTCCTGAAAAATTCAAACCTCCCCCGAAATCGCAATGCGCAAACGGCCACCGGGGGGGGAACCGGCGCGATTCACCGGTCGGTACGACCGGCCCGGTTCCGGTGGGGAGAGGAGGCCCCGTTGGGACCGGGTATGCAGCACTGCAATATACAAGTTAAGGTAATGGTAGGCCAATACATGGAAGTATTGGAAAAAGGGTCTGTGAATAGAGGGGGGGGGTAATTGTAGGGTAAACAGCAGGGGGGCGCATTGAGTTAGGGGTCTTCGTACCCATGATGGCAAGATCATGGGCTTAGGGATGACAGCCCATCCTCCATCCTCCATGAACATACGTTAATGGTATTTAGGCCCTCTCCCTCAATCCACATGTGCCCCTATGAGGCAGACGTGTGGTCCAAAGACCACCTCAAGGTTCTCCTCATGCTTTTCCTTTTACACTTTTCTTTTCTGGACGAAGGGCTGGTGGGAGCTCAGCCGACTACTGCTGAATTCACCTCCTCTCAACTTCAAAAGATAAGGGAATGCGAAAAAGTAAGGAGAAGCATATACTGATCACAATTATTGGCACACACACGCACACACATACACACACACACACACACACAGAGAGAGAGAGAGA